ACAATGACATGAGTTTATAGTAGCATTTTTAAGGGGACAAATGGGTTTCATCAATATGGTTAACAAGTGACTTGAGTAACAGTAAATTCATGTGAATTTGTGCCAAGTTTTTCGAGATTGCTAGCAAAACTTTAACATTACACTTGGGCATTACTTTTAAACCAACCAATAGTAGATAGAATCAGTCAACTAAATATTTTGATGAATGACATTTTGATCGACCGTTACGATAAATATTGAGTGGTCACCAGTTACATGTTATCAGTTTAGTAAATCGGCATCTGATTAATGTATTTTCAATGGTTGAGATGATGAGCCAGTTGAAGCTAGACCACCATGGACGACGTGGGAGCACTGATGGTTTAGCTTCAACTGACTCATCACCTCAACCATCGAAATTACTATAATATCCACAAAACCCATTCTGATTAATGTATATTCTTTTCAATGCATATTGCTAGCAACCACGATGTCTGTGATTGCGCTCGTTTTTGTAATTTGTACAACGAAATGTTGTAAAGTTTTCACAAACTCACGTGAATAGTTTATTTGACTGATAGACATAATGATGTGTTGAAACAACCAATAAAACAGATAACTTGTTGAAATATCCAGATGACAGAAACAGGTAGCCTAGATAGTCAAGCAGGCCGCCAAAACCACACGGAAGATTTGTTTATAAATGGTTATATTATATATAAATTTTCTTGTAATACAATATACTGTATAGATTGAAAATCTTGTTATATGAATTAGAAATCAAATAGAAAATCATGTAGTGATTCCTACAACAACAACAACAAAACGTCATTAAGACAATAAGTTTTAAACTTTACATCTTTATAGATAATTTTGTAAAATACTACTACTTAAAATCATCTGACATAAGAAATCTTTTATCTGCTGGAAACAATTCAATGTATAATTTCAATTTATACATAGTGAGATATTTATTCAACCTTTTGAATAACACATCATTGAATTCTATCTATCCTTGGGTAATTATTAGAAATGAAAGATAACTTATAGTAAACTGTATTACATTTTTTTCTCTAAAAGTCCATATTAGATTTCATATTGTTTTAGGGTATTTTTTTAATGGTAAAAATAACTTACACATAGTAACCAAATACAATTAGCTAATGTACTCCATATAGGATGAGATGACTTGTAATGTAATGATGATATCTATGCAATTTGCCCAAGATGTCAACTGAGACTAATCAAGGTTTTTTAATGTTGAATATCACCAGCGGAATAATTTAAATCGATTATAATCATTTTGATATAAATGATCTCTGTTATTTGGATTATTTTTGTAAAACATTAAGTTATTGATTTTATATCTCTAACATTTTATGCTTATCCTGATTAATTTATCTTTGGATTTCAATTTACTAAAAACGTTACATCATTTTATGAAATCGGATCATTTAGATTATGACCTAACTACTGAGGTTACAGTATATATGACTTTCAGTGTTTAAATGGTCTTCCGTTTAGAACTTTTATTTGTTAAAAAAGTAGTTAAACATTGATGACTAATGTTAATAGTAATAACTCTGTTTTATACTGACTTAGTAATGTTCATATATCTCAATAATGACTATAAGGTTAATGTGTCGAAGTCAAATATCTTCAGTGAATCAACAATTTCATTTCAAACTCCTTCCAGAAACTTCAACAGTTGAGATCACGAGTCAATTGAAGCTAAACCACAATGGAGAACCTGGAAGCACTGGACTGCCGTTTCGTCCTGCTCTGGAACTCCTCAGTAGTGCGCATCCACTACCCCGCCTCGCGGGATTCGAACCCAGAACCTACCAGTCTCGCGCCAGAAAGTTTATCTTATACTTGTCACTGTTATGTCTGTTGAATACTTAATTAACTATGTTTGTCACTGAAAACCCTGAATCCAACGACGCTTAAGGAAAACACAAAGGCTGCTAATATGAATTTATTTGACCGTAAAAATAGATCAAAATAATGTATGAATACGCCAATTTTTATATAGTTTATTTATAATCACATTTGTATAAGTTGAACTGATTATTATTTAACAATAATAAGTTCAAACAACTTACTGTGTGAACCATTTGTAACCAAGAAATATAACTAATTGACTAAGTTAGATGATCTTTCTTTAAAACGTGATCTAATCGATTACGTCATTGTTTCTCATATCATTTTACTTTCCCTATAATGTTGTCTATTTAGTCATTTATTTAAACATAGAAACATTGGTACAAAGGGCACCAAATAGATATGCACCATATAATTCATTCGATTTATGTGAAAGCAAGGATACTAACCAAGTGCCCGAATCAAAGCAGGTGCTTTTCTTAGGGAGGCCACTCCTCGAGCCTTTGTCTTAAAGGTCTGATCCACAAGGTAGTGGGTCAACGTCAGAAGATGCAGTCCAATGGTAGCCGGTGACCAACGATTGGTTCATACGCCATATTTGTTCCCTCAGGATTGGTTTGAAATCAAAGTTTTGTAACTTCCTTAGGTTGATCCTTTGTGTTCACCAACCCGGGTAAAGCCCCAGACATTCGCTTTTCGTCCCCTCAATTTCGTAAACAACACCCCCGAGGCAAGAAGGCAGTGAGTAGAATTTTCCTGGCAGTGGCTGTATACGAGTGGCCATGGGAGAGCATTTCTGGAGGGATCACTGACTCTCTCTACTCTCGGCTGTACCATGGCATTTTGGGACCTTGAACGTAGATTAATCCTTAACATAATCCTTGTTTTCTTTAAAAAAATTAATTAGAGATATTCCTACTCTTCCGGTGTTTAGTTTATTTACAAAAATTACCATAACTCAATTTAAACTTAACAGCCATCTTTCCCTTTAAGAAAAATTCAATAGAATTTGTTACAATTTTAAGAATCATGATCAATCATAACCATAAAAAATTCCCCTTTAAATTATAAAGTATCTCCTTGTTGTAATCAAATTTTATCCGATTCTTATTCAACTGTTAATATAAATATATGGTTCTAACTTAACTCTCATGGGTCTATACTTGGCTAGAGTAAACATTTTCATTCAGTCATGAAATATTAATTTACTAGAAGGCATTCTCGCAGATTTCATAGTAATTTTAATAGTTGAGTTCATGAGTCAATTGAAGCTAGACCACTATGGAAAACTTGGAAACACTGAACGGCCATTTCGTCCTATTGTAGGACTCCTCAACGCAGTGCACATATACCATCCCGTCTCGCGATACTCAAGTTCAGGACCTATCGGTCTCACACGCGAACACTTAACCACTAGACCACTTGGATGACCGGCATCCAACAGTGTTAATGTCCAACTTCAACTAATCCACGAAATTGACTGACACATCCACCATTGTCTTTAGTGATTTACTATCTCACAGCAGATCTGGTTGAAATCCACTGGTTTCTGTTTCTCACCAGATCTCCAGGAAATACCTGTTGAAGTTAGTCTTTAATGTGCATATATTGATACATATCAGAAGGAGTTTTCTTGTGAATATTATAGAAATTTTAATAGTTGAGTTCATGAGTCAATTAAAGCGATTGATATGAATCAAAAAAGTACTTCGAAAGATACACATTTGCAATTAGTTTAAAGTGTGTTTAATGTTTCAGTATTTTGATTTTGTTACCTAATATTCTAACTTTATATTTTTTGTTTAATGTTTTTAACAAAAGTCTAATTTGTTTTATGAACTTTTTAATAATAAAAAATTGAGTAAAATGAAAATTTTGTTTTATCTTTTAATTATGTTTATTGAATTTATTGTGTGAAAAAAAAAACAATGACAATCGAAATTTCGGGGGGCGGGATTATAATTTATGAACGAACCAATCAGGTTGTGAGATAACAGGTCTTGGATTTTGGCGCGAAATTCACTCATCTATTTAGTTAAATAAAGTTTTGGCATTATAGATTATGTCAGTTCGTGATGAAAACCTTAAATCTAATTTCTAACCTTGACCATCAAGTATTAATTATAATTTTAATTCCTTACACGGATTTATAACCCTCATTTGATCTTAGTTATTAGGCGAACACCTTCAATGTCCTTCTAGAGTCTCTCAAAGGTCGTCCATAAATTATAGTCTCACCGAAATTTTTATTTCCAAACAGTGAAAATATTTCAATTTTACAAATGAAATAATTTAGGCTAAATAACATATGAAGCGCAATACGTTTCAGAGGATTATTTGCTAACACCAAACGTACTGCGATCACGTTCAGCCGGTTCAGCATTCGTTTGAACATTTCATATAAGATTCAAGATGAATCAGAATTTGGCTTTAATAAAGGGAGTAAATGGATCTAGACGAAAAACTGTCATACATATTCAGATTGCGTCATTACGTCAATAATATATTTAACACTTTCCTTATCGTTTAAATATGCAACATAAGGCTACGGTATTCGTCATGTCTAAAGTAGGTAGCTTCATTTAAATAAACCTAAATCACCGATTATAACCAACAAGTACATCGTAATAGGTCTTCCATTACAAGCAAACATGCTTTCGATCTACTGCTCTGCCTGCCGAACATTTTTTGCCGTAGCTTGAAAATCCAAGCTATTCTTTACGATAGTTTAAAATTAAATCACGGATAGATACTTCGTGGTAACAACACATAAATGTATAAGGAGCTCCTCTTTAACAAACTCTTATGAAACACATATGCTCGAAACCGTTGACTCCTAATATACTGAATATCCATTTCTTCTAAAAACCGAGCTGTACAGAGTAAAACACAAATATTCACGGCTGGCTTATTATTAGTTACTTATTTTTCAGTTACACATTTACCTACTAACAAGTAGTTTGACTTTTCAATCTAATTTTTGAGAATAAATTTTTCCCGACTGAAGCTCAACTGTAACCTATTTTTAATCGTAATGAAAAGAAAACATTCATCTGAGTATAATTTACATAAATAAATGAGCTTAACATGGTCTTCAGTATGTCTATAATGATTTTATTGTAATATATATATTTCAGCACGGCTTGATAGTGTGAAAAACTATATGACATTAAGAAGAGTACCAGCATCATTACAAGAACGTGTGATAAATTGGTTTGATTTTCTTTGGTACACGAATAAAATAACAGATGAAGAAAAGGTTCTACGAAATCTGCCGTATAAATTAAAAGCCGAAATAGCTATTCACGTACATTTGAATACATTAAAACAAGTGGAAATATTTCAAGATACTGAAGAAGGATTTTTATCAGAACTTGTATTAAAACTACGTGTTGTATTGTTTGCACCAGGTGATTATGTATGCCGTAAAGGTAAGTTATTCATTATATGTTTAATAACAAGTATCAATTATTTGTTTCATAAAACTTGAACTAGATAAAGTATATACGCTGAATGATGCACTACACTGAGATTAGATGGTGGTTGGAGGTAGTCAACAGGAAACCCTGGACCCGGGTTTCGTGTTATTTGGCACTCGTCAGCAAGGTGTACCTGTAATCTTGAGGGAACTGGTGCTACATGGCGGATTCGATCTCGTGTCACCCAGCTTCACAGTCAGAGACGTTACCACTGAGCTATCTGAGCCGTGACTAACCTCCTGTAGGACTGAGATGTAATCACAATTGATTGATCACTGGGTGGTGATCAATCTCATGCTTGTCTAGTCCTTATTAGTCCAGGGTTTCCTGTTGACTACCTCCAACCACCACTTTTAGTCATCATAAATATAAATAAGGAAAATAAGGAAACTATCTTTTTTCTGGTACACTTTTCCATCTTCATATATCATCTTACAAAGTGCTTTCGAGCTTCTCATACGGCGATATTTTGTCAGTCTGTTACTGCCTTACTTGAATATTGGCCAACTGTATTGGTCAGTATTCCCTACTAAGACTTCAAGAAATCTATTTCAAGTCAAGTCTCTGGAAGGAGCATGATTTTAACTGAATTAGGTAATGTTAAGGAAATCTTGTATAATCCATTGTTTTAGCTCACGAAAGATGTAACTATTTTCAAACAGTAAGACAGCAGGAAATTTCTGGCTGAAATCAACAAAGTTAATGAGAGCACTATCTGGAATTCAGAAAAGTGTTAAGTACACTAAACTTTTCAATTACTTTCCAACTAATCAGTACTGAAAATCAATAGTTTTTGAAAACTTTCATGATTAAAGTGGATCTCCTAGAAATAGTAATTAGATACAGTACTATCTATCAGAGTATCTATGGCGAACTGTAAACTAATGCCATTAGTTATACTCTATATAAAATATACTTCAAACCTACACATATATATTCATTTTATCTCAGTTTACTGATCTACTATAACAGTTAATTAAAAGTAACAAATATAATATATAACGTGATATCTTACAGATTACCGTCGATTATTTATTCACTTTCATATATTACTCAGAATACCTTTTTTTAAAATAAACTTCATATTTTATAGGTGAAATTGGTAAGCAAATGTATATTGTGAATCGTGGAAAATTGCATGTTTTAGGTGATGATGGGCATACAGTTTTAGCTACACTACACGCTGGAAGCTATTTCGGTGAATTATCTATTTTAAATCTGGGTAATAATGGTAATAGACGTACAGCATCAGTACGTTCTCTAGGATATTCTGATTTATTCTGTTTGTCTAAATCTGATCTTTGGAAAGTACTTAAAGAGTATCCAAATGCAAGAAGTAAACTTGAAGCTGATGCTTACAGAAAAATAAATCAATATCAGAATATTCCACAGCAAAATATGAAAGGTATGATTATTCTGTTAGTGTAATTCACTTTTTGTCTTCTACTTTATATGTTTTTATTAAGATCTTTCAAATATAGATGTAGTAAACCATGATTTCTACTGTTCACTATAACCCTTTTTACATCTCATTCATTGTTATCCTTGTACATTCAATGGTTTAGCCTAAAAGAAGCATATCCCATTCTATTCTTAAGTGTTGAAGAATTTGTAATCATATCAGATGAAACTTTTCATACAGATAATGAGTTTTATCTCTCGTTTGTCATTACATGTTGCTAATTTTTTTTTACGGTTGAAAGCATCTACTACTAATTCATTTTATTGAGAGAAACATTATAGAACTGTAGTCATATTTTGTTAATCAGCAACCAAAGTCTATCTACAATTTACCTTAAATTCATTCATTATTCTTTGATACAATCAATCTATGAGTGTAAATTTAGTCTAGAAAGAGTTGAATAAGTTTCATGGATCTTACTAATACACATTCAATGTAAATTCAGCTTTTCATGTTTCAGTTAACATCTTTCTACACATTAATGACAAATTACTAAAGTAAAAGCATTCAATCATGACATTGGGTTTTTATTAATTGAACATTGTGCTAGTACTTGATATTATTTGTTAAAATGTTAATGAATCTCTTCGTCTGTATCTGTTCACAATATTACTATTCACACTCAGGTAAGAACCCTCGGGGAGTATATAAAGACATAATGATTACATTGGGATCATGAACCGGTCAGTGTTGAACCACCACTGAAAGCCTAGGAGCATCGAACGGCTGTTTCGTCCTAGTATGGGACTCCTCGGCAGTGAGTATCTAAGATAACGCATAGGGACTCGAAACGAGGATCCTCAATATCGCGTTCAGCCTGCAGACCACTAGACCGGCATCCAACAGTGGTAATGTCTAACTTTAATCAATCTACGATATCACAGGACCATCTTCCATTGTCCTTGGTGGGTAACTGCCTCACAAATAATTCACTGATTAGGATATTTTTAGTACTGTGTGTATCTAACTCAGTGGTTGAAATGTTATGCGTTGCCTATGAGATCAGGGAGCCTTGAGTGTGACTGCCGGTGGGGAAGTAGTTATGCACTACCGATGAATCTCATATTAAGACGAAAAAGGTTCCCAGTGTTTTTTGGTTCCCAATCATTATGTAGTGTAATCTATGAAGGAACTACTTACTTTTTCTATTGGTCCTGATAGTGACTTACTTGACAAAATTGATTAACTTATTCTGGAACGTCATTTTCTTATAATTTCCATTAATAACTGCTATTTATTAGTTCATTTAATTTGTTCACTAGAGATGAATGAAATAAAATACAATCTTTTTAAAGATCACTAGAAAATTATATTTAAGTCTAGAAAGCAGTAACCAGTTATTTCAATTTTTTTTGAGAATTGAAATAGATTCATACATTCTCTTCCACAACATTAATGCTAAGAACTTGTAAACTGACTGCAGTAACGAATTATCGAAGATTATTACCTTGCCCTGATAACTAAAGATCTCGAATTAATCTTGCCTTGGATTTAAAGTGAATACTAGTTGAAAGCCTGATAACAAAACACACTAGTTTCTTAGTGATTCATAAGATACGCACGAAAAAAATACTTCAAATTTTTAATATTAATCATCGTTATAATAGTGAATCGAGAACCAGTCAATCATTAAAAATGTTATCTTTTCTAATCGAGAAGTCTAAGACAATATCATATCGGTGTGTTCTAATGTAGTTTTAGGAGTTCTAGGACTTAATCTAAAGATAAGTCACAAAATAATTGATTTAGGATAATATCTAACTGTCTGTGGTACAAATCTGATGCGAACAAAATCATTAACTATTTGATGTTTCCAATCTTCATTGTAAGTAGTCGATGTATATTAAAAATGCTTTCAGTTATTTGCCTAAATACTAAAATAATATTTTGTTTTCTCTCTTCTTTTAGATTTTCCAATCAAATCTATTCCATTTGAGAAGAAAGTTATGAACTCAACAGATCCCATGAATTACAATGGATATTCTGCACCTGCTCATGACAGCACACACCTTCGTAATAATAATCTGACAATTAGTCAAAACAGTCATTCTCAATTAGACATGAATTCAAATAATGAGTGCTTAGTACGTGTTTCCAACAGCGATGGGTCGGATGGTTATGGCAGTGACCCAAGTCGTTGCTCAGCCTTTCTGCCTACACCGCAACGATCCCCTACTCCATCAGCCATTATGGTGATGAACAATTCTGATAAAACTCATATAGCTTCAAACAATGCACCATTTCCACAGCTTAATCCTACAATCTTCAACGTAACGAGTCAAAGTCAGCCTGTTTATGAGAATCGATCGAGTTCAGTGCCGACAACAGTAAGTGATAGTTTAGGAAATTTTACAGCATTATGTTCTAATGAAAACGAACAGGTTTGTAATTGTTTAATAGCCGAATCAAATAAATGTCCCCGGTTAAAATTATATCAGAATAATCCAATCCCATTTGGAAAACAGCGTCATCTATCAATGCCAACAAATCTGTTTCCTACTGATGATTCATTTTATCATCCAAATAGTAGTCAATTAAAAGAGTCTAACGTAAAATCTACACCTATAGCATTACATAGTGGTGTCGTGATTACTGATTTTCATTCAAATCAATGGAAAGAAGTAGAAAATGAAAAGTTGTTTCGTAAATATTGTCATTTTGACTGTTCCATGAAAGGAAAACAAACAATAACTTCAAATTTGGATAGTTCAAATCATGATGGTACAGTAAATGGAAAAAGAGTGATTCCAATTATTTGTTTTGAAAAAGCTTCTACACCATCTATTTCAGAAGCAACAATTTCCGAAGATGAACAAGAATATCAAGCTGTTTACGAGCATACTTCACAACCTTCATCATCATCATGTATCATTAAAGCTCCTTCTTATTCATCTTCTATGCCTATACCAGAGCCAACACATGGAAAATATTGTACTCATTTAAAAATACCAAAACATAAAACACCTAATTGGACAGCTAGACGACCTCCATGGCCTTATAAAACTTGTTCACATCATTATAAATCACCAGGTACATTTAAAACAGGACATATTTCTAATCATTCAATAGAAGATAATTCAATGTTTAATACTATACATGGTTACAAACATAATAAAACGAATCATGAATTAATTGAACAATTAAGTCATCTCATATATCGAATTAATAAATTAGAAAATGAAAATTACATTTTACAAAATAGTTTATTTAATCAATCAAATTCAATAATGATACAACAACAACAACAACACCAAGTACAACCATCATTGCCACAACAAAAATGGTCACCTACAGTAAATTTAACACGTCAATATAGTCTACCAATAAAATCAACTAATGTATATCAACATTTTCAAGATTATTTAAAAATACCAAATAATATACAAATCAATGATCAAAGATCTACTGAATATGATCATTCAAAAGATATAAAATTTAATATATCTCAATCAAATATACATAAAAATGAAGAAAATTTAATAGATGAATCCAATATAAACAATAATAATAATAATAATAATAATAATAATAATAATAATAATAATTGTCCAGTATTTACTCTTGATTAAAGAGAAACATAAATGTAAAATGAAAAACAAAAAATAAATGGGAATATTAATTCCATTTATTCTAACTTAGTGTTTTTCCATTACCAAGCCGACCCCCCCACACACACACACGCACCCAAAAAATTTCATTTAACATGTCTAGACAGGAAATTAAATCTGATTGATTAATGTTAATCTTTTTCTTTCTTTTTTTTCTTTCTCTTAGATACACTAAATTGAATATGACTAAGTGAATACGGATGCATAGTAATTTTTTACATTAAAATTTAATTCATAAGTTAGATAGGATTGTAAAAATTTTAAGCTCATTTGTGAAATTTCCACTATTCTGTAATTTTTGTCCTATGACTATTACTGTTATATATACATATATGAACAGCAAATTTAAATTGTTTGTAACTATCTACTTATTCGTGAAAAAGTAGTATAAGTATATAGATTACTTTTTTGAAACGTGTTTTTTATTGTTTTGTTTCTTTATACAGTAAAAGTAATTAATTATCATGCCTATCGTTATTCTAAATAAAATTCAATCATAATTCGTATAGATGCTTGTTTTTTATGATAAGTTGACAAATTCTGCTAGATTACCAGTAGTAGATTACTTAAATGTTATATCGAAATGTAGTTAGTTCGGAAATCATTTTCTTCATTAGTTACTAGCTATAAACGGCTTCCTTTAATTTCTGAGTGGAATTTATAAATTTTATATTCATTCATATCGGAACTCAAACAGTTCTCAAAGGATTACATTGGATTAGAAATCTAAATGAATTTGATAATGGGAAATGAGTGGTATGCTGGTTTGTATAATACCTAAAGGTCTTGAATTTCCCTTTGTGTTTTATTTTTTGGCGTAAACGGATGATAATTAGTAAAGTGAAAGGAAACAGTTACACTGTCCTTCCTGGCGTTGATTGCTTCAGAAAATAATTTTTGTTCGTAATATGAACTATTCGCGAACAATAATATATAAAATAGTACAATACAATTTTGATTTCTAATTAATATACAGTCACAAAAGATTGATTATTTTTCAAGTTCACGGTTACTTATCAGGATATAACTATAATTTATGGTCGAACGTTTTTCATTCTGTTGGTAATCGCTACGTTAGTTTAGTCGATCAGCTAAAAATCTTTCCTGGATTTGTTTGGAACTTTAGGAGTCTCTTAGTAAACTTAAAATTCATCTACGTATCTTTTTATACCCATAAACTGAGTTTTTAGTACTATTTGTTATTAGTAAAATATACTGTTTATGTACCTAGCATCTTTTGAGATCATTTTTGCCAAAAAATTAAGATATTCAACGCTTAGTGGGGATGGGAATTTATTCACTTGTATAAAGTATATGTGCTCGAACTCGCAATAAGTCATTCATACTTATTTATGTAAAATATTTCAAAAACTGACGTGGTCATATATATCCTATTCAAAATTATCGCACGATAAGTATTAATATGTTAGGCTAAGATACTTTATATTTACCTTATATTCTGTCCTAATGACAGATAATTATTGAAACACTGAGAACCTAAGTAAACTACCTTCTATTATGCATTAAAAAGACTATACTTCTTTCTTTAAATAGATTAGACTCTGATAAGTTAACCGTCATTCACGTTATTCAATCAAATTCCATATTAAAAATAGCCTTCGGATAATCAAGAAATTACTTTGGATGAGCCGGTTATGTCTTCTGACATGAGATTATTGAGGCATTAATTATATCATGAAAAACGACTTTATCAGTATAGAAGATATGGAGATTGTTGAATATTGTTGAGATCACGAACCGATCTAAGTCATAAAACCACTGAAGGCCTGAAAGCTCGGTACTTTTAACACGTAGCATATATTTTACTTAATATACGTTTAACTTTTCCATAGCAATATTGTAGAAGGTATATTTGACTGTATGTCTGACAACTAGTGTTTCACTTCCGCTCTCGAATTTATCTGCTATGTAAAATATAATTACCTTATCTCCTACTTGTTTTCTCCACCCAACACTGTTTGATATATGGTGAGTCAGTAGTATGGTGAATTCATTGAAAACTAATATTTCTGTATTACCTATAAGTCCATACTTCTTATCAATTTTTATCTGATCACAAATAAAAGCTCTGTCATTCATTTAAGTCAAGTTTTCATTTCCACTTTATATCCATTATAATTAGCATCATTTTTTAAAACATTATTTCAATTCAGCCATTCACCTAATTAGATTTTATCGAGCAATCTTCAGCTGTTACTTCAATCATAACATTTTGCATATGTTTCTTCTACTTTTTAATAGTATGGTCTGTTTCATCTACTCTAATCACCAGTAAATTTAAAGTTGTTATAAATACTCTTCATTAGTGAACAAATGACCCTATTCGATCTATGTTCGTAAAACATTTTACTTGTGTATTTATTTGTACCAATTATTGTGCGTGTAGAGTGATTTGAAACACACTAAACGAAATAAATTCATCTTATTCCATAATACTTGTTGCTCCACCTTTACAAAAATGAAAATTTTTCAAAAAGCATCAATATTCTGATAATAAAGAATAAATTCACCCTTCTTAGTCTTTTTATTCACATATAAAGTCACTTCAGTAAACAAACAGAGAGCATTTTAAATTAGATATTCAATATATAAGATCCAAATATTTTTGAAGTCATTCAAAAGCTAGCTAAGTTCCGAATCGTTTGGCTCATTTAGTATTATTTACCTTCCGAAATCAACTGTTGATTAAAATAACTACGTAGGTTTAGTCAAACTCAAAGTTTATTCTATTATGTAAACTTGCCGAGCTAATACTACAGGCAAAAACAGGTTCAAAAATATGGAAGTAGAAAATAGCAGAACGTGCAAACATCAACTAATTACATCTTTCTGACGCCAGCCAAGTGAAGAGCAGGAAAACCAAACTAATGGTTAGATGATTACCTGTCACCACTACTAATGCTCCTTAAGCTATGTTTGAATTTAGATTTATGAGAAAGATTACTACTTGAACCGCGAAAACAAGGATTGCGATTTTTCTTCACCACTAGTAAATGAATATCTGAAAATGTCCAAAATACAATTTGCTAGGTTTGCTTAAACGATATAACTTTGTATTGATGACGGTTCATGAGGAAAGATGAGAAACTTTCCCCAGGTTGGAGATAGAAAGCGATAATACTCGGGATCTCATTTGAGTTTTGATCCCAATCTTCTGATTTTTATGGTCATGACCTGTAAATTTCCCTTTTTTAAACTGTTTTGGTGCATTAAGACAGATGCGTCAGTATCGCTCACTCTTATTTATTGATTACCCGATTATTAAGCATAAAACTTTGCAATACAGACGCATTTGAACTATAACTTATCTCAAACTTCTTCGACGAACTTAACAAGTGGTGGTGCTTTAAAATCAATCCCAGTCTGAATAAAGTTACGTATACTGGTTAGGGTGATTATCATCCATGTCCAGCTGAAAAAAGTCATATAATAAAAACCCAGTAGTGATTTGAGGCATTAGATGAAAAACGATGGCGGATTATGAAATAATTACTACTAAAGGGCTTTTATTCATATGGCCCAATCATTCAGTCTTCAAAAGCTTCAGAAGTTTTATATTTTGCACACTATACCTAACTTAACCAGAACTTCATACGGAATGCTAGACGTGGACCATATTTGCCGAAAGAGTGAGACGTTGGCTATTTCTAAAGTGATGTATGCAACGTTAGTAGCTGAACCTTTTGTCCTCTTATTAGACAAATAATCACAAAAGTCAAGTGATTTCTTTCGTTTTACTGTCTAAAAACAATATTAGATCAACTTTATGCCTTTCTAAAATTAATTATTTATGGAGATCAAATAATCTTACTTGAGAAAACTGGATTACAATTTTTCAGTTGGGTAGTTAACGGCTGGAGCTTCTTAATAAATGAGGTGATATTATCCTACATGGCGTTAGTGTTGCAGGGATAGTTACAATGATACCTGTCTGAAGAGCTAAAAAATTAGACAGCCTGATGTTTCTGTAGCTGAGGATCGTAACCCAGTGGTAGAGACGAGTTGGCTGCCTAATATAAATTAAGCATATTGAGCAAATATATGGAGTTCAGCAATTTAGGAGCGATATGATACATCTATTTGATTTTTACCATACTTTCGATGAAAATTTCTCTTTCTTTATATTCCTAAAATAGGAGAAGGACGCCTAAGAGAAAGTATTCTGAGAACTTAATTGCTCATCTACCTTATAAAATTCAAAACGGAAGTTGACTTGTACTGAATTTAAGTTGACAGAAATCGAGTTCGTATGAGTGGTAAATAAACCCCCAAACAAATAATTTTTTAAGTCTCCAATATTGGTGCTAATCTCACTAGTTTTACTGGTCACTTCCTAGCTGAGGGCACTCGGGTAAGCATCCGCACCAGACTATCGTTGGATACGCCGTGCTACGCATCCCTTTCAACTAGTTAGCATAGATCACTTCTGGATATATTGACTATCTTCCAGAAATATCTTCCAACCTATTTATCCATGAATTCTGGTTTGACTGGCTTTTGGACTCTCGATTATACAAGTGTTACGAGTAACGTCGTAGTCAAGCACCGAATATCTGCGACATCTTTGTGCATTTATGACTGACTGATAAATAAAACTAAACATCCATAATCTTTTGGGCGAAATGAATGGATTTCAGATTTTCAGTTCTGTACATCGCACTGTTTATTGCTACTTCATTTTGATATAGCTTGACATACTTCGCGAAAAGTCATTTGAATAGTATAAACGCCCTTCTATCTCATAGCAGCATTATCCACTGATATGACAGTTGAAGCTACGTGTTTATGTATACTTATGGCATTTTAATCCATAATGTCAAAGGAGCTTAACAAGTATTTTAAAAACACGGAAACATTAGTAAAGTCATGAAAAATAAAAGATTCGATGGTTTACTTCTCATGCAAATAGTATATGTGACTATCACAAAATTATTATTCCTGGTATATTGGTATTCTGTAGAGGAAATTACTCTCTAAAACAAATAGCTTTTTACATATCAGGTAGTCAGAATAGTGGTGTCATGTTTATATCCCTCTAGCTTCAATCAGCTTTCTTTAGTTGTAACTCCTTTCACTCTTTTTGTACCTTTCTTTGATGTGATATACGTGAAAGAGTCTGATACCAACGTCATATGATTCTGTTGAATACAGACATCATTCGTGATAAAAATAACGATTATGTTAAGCAGAAAGATCCAAACAATTCAGATTCCGCTTAGCTCTATGAAGGCACAAAAAATTCGATTTATTCAAACCACTGGGAACATTAAATGTATTTGAGTTCATTATCGAAAAATATTTTCGAATAGGAGATAAACTAAACAGACACACATGACAATGTTACAAGAACCATAATATCAAAAACAACTTCGAAAAAGTACAAAATAAGCATTATAGAGCTTAAGACTAAGTCAATATAAAATACGTATGATTGCCAAAGTATGAGCCACACACACAAAACAACATTTGGTAAAAACTGAAAAAAGGAAATCACAACTCCGACTAAGCTCTCCTTTAAATTGGAAATCATGAGGCAGTATATACGTAGAATTTCAGAAAATATGAAAAATATGAACAGTGACAATTCACTGGCAAATATACCTTGAGAATAAGGGAGCACAACTCCTTTTAAAATAAACAAAAAAATTTCTAAAACCGCAAATGGGACAAAGTAATATATGTTACAGAAAAGCAAAACCTGTAAGAATGAAGAGGATCGCACCAAATGAACCTTTGGGTTACCGTCAAACTGATCATCTTTTGTAGACATTTGAAAAAGTGCAGCGTCTACAGTTATTTAAACATACTTTCTATAGGCTGAAAACTAAATAATATGAGATTCATTGTCAACTTTGAGTTTATCCAAGGAAATAGAATTCAGTAGTTTTAGGAATAACGTACTATCACTCTAGCCGCCAATTTCAGTTTTTCTTTTACAATGGCTACCCAGGTTTGTCCCATCTTCCCCAGAAGCCTCATATTTTTGTGACCCATTAATGACTACAAGTTAAGCTGTACTTGCTCATCACTCATAAGCTTCACTGTTTAAACCAGATATATCCTATCTGCTAACTACGGTAGTAATAATTGCATTCAACGTTGTGCCTACATAATTGTCATAACTCTTCTCTGTTATGAAACGTTACGTTTGAATTACTTGGACTACTTTACTTAATGTGTAGAGTTGCTGATTTGTCGGATAAAATGTCGCAGTCCATCTATCTTGAGGAAATTTTTGGTGTTTCCCCAAAGTCATGAGAAGTTTGTTAGTCTTCTCCGAATTTCTGAGAAAAATCCTAGTGTTGTAAAATTGTGTGAAAATATTCAATAAAACCCCAAATTCCTTCGGACCTGGGAAAATTCTGGGGGTTTTGTGCCATTTCCCCAAAAGTTTTGTATTGCGGCTTCCTCAAAATTTCCCCAAGATAGGGAGTTTGGGATATTAGGATACGATGCGTATGTCTTGATGTGTGTTGTCTACATAAATCTTAAGAATGAGTTCTGTAACTTGGACTACCGAGTCCCCCTTAACAGCTTTACACCATCAATCCTTCATTCGAGATATTTTGGTGACTTTTGGGTGAACTGCAAGTAAACCCTGTCGGTTTCTGTATATGAGCATTCCATCAAACCAAGGGAAGTGACACCATAAGTGTTACTTACTAATTTTTTAATACGGTAACTCGTTGTTTGTGTCAAGGTTCTGTTTGCACCGTTAATACCTTACATCAGTGGCTGTATTAGAGACATGTTTAATTGAAAGTGCAGTTTGCAACTTATTCTCTATCCGTACTATTTTAATCCCCTTACCATTTCTCAAGCTTACTATGCTTACTCTAATACCGCAATTATGTAGATGGTGTCTATGATAGCAGCGCATAACTCAAATTATTAGTCCAGAATACGTTTTTTCCTTCCAAATGTACGACTTTGTTTCAGGACTAGTCTAACTTAATCATACTGAGTGAGATAGTTAAGGGCGTCAGTCATTTCACTAGTCTTGAACGCCTCATCAGCCTTATTGGTTAGTATCTGATGAAATATCAGTACGAATTTATCTAAGCTTGATTGGCTTGGGCCACTTGTACTGTAGTCAGTATATCCGTCTGTTATCAAAGGCACGAGTACACTGAGTTATTTGCTTCATAGTTAACAAACGGTTTTAAAAAAAACATTCTTCAGCTGCTAGTGTTTAGTCATAGGTGTCTTCTGACCACTATTGGAGCACGTTGGAACTACCGAGTAAGCAATGCTGGTGTTAAACACAGTATTAGGCTAATATAACAAGTCGGTAAGACTGTTTATCTTTATCAACTGAGATGAGTGAAATACATATCTGTCTAACCACCGCCTACTTTGACGTCTAATGTTGGTTGGTGTAAGAGCAAGTTGAGAGAGGGGCAGCCAAACCAAGATATGATTTCAACCCATTAAGTCATGTACTGTTGCACTGTGCCCTGTTGGGGACCACACGATTATTGTGACTAATGATCAGGGGCATTGCATGGAGCTTCAGAATCAGGATTTATATGCTCTAAGTACATAAATAGAATACTAATGTTTAATTAATCCGATACTTTAAACATTCTGACGTTCGCTCAGTTTTAGACCTTGTATCCTATCGGGGTTTCCACTTAGCAGAATCTTTTACTTTGAATCGGTCAGAGACTGTAAAAAGAGAAGATTAATCTCATAAAAGTCAAATCCAGTAAAATCGGTATGCAATAAATGAGTGTGCATAACCTGTTGAAGTTACCCCCACAGTTCTTCGCATGACTCATTAAATTTGGGAAGAATACCTTAGGTAAGACAATATGCATTTTCAAGTCTGTGATTACACACTCAATAGAGGATGTAGACCCAGTACTACCCTCCCTAGGTTTGAAATCTCAACCCCACAATTTTTCTGCTTCTCATCTCCAATTAAGTCTCACATGATTATGGTATCTGATGCCTCAGAAGCTACAATAAACAAACACATCTATTTTGTAATTATCACAAGGAGTTTATATTCTTCCGAAATCGTCTGCTACTATTTTTTTTTATTTCTGCACTCAATTTAATGCCTCAACACTATTTCCTGACCTACGTTCCTAACAACATTCATGGTTATATATCTATAAGTCCTCCTATTTTTCATTGTTTTAAGTCTGTCATATTTTAATTGGTAAGAGCTACAATGACAGTTGACAAAACATTGAAGCTGTGCGCAAGTAGGTTGTTTCTTCATTTCTCTCAGTCTAAGACATTATTAATGCTCATCTTTTTCAGTGATGTTCTCACTGATCAGAACTAGTCATACAACTGTTTTTGGACATGGTAACAAGATTTTTTTTCTTCCTTCTTAACGAACCTCACTACGTTCCTTTCGACTTCCTTATTTCTAGAGGAAATTAGAGTAGACTCTGCTTAAAAACTACATTTTGTCTCGTTATAATCACTCAAGTGCTTAACATCCATGTCCAATAAACAATGTAGTTTCGCTCTTCAACAGTAGTAATACAAATTATCTGATTATAAGTATATTTTCCTGGTAACCACTATTTTGTCTTAAGCATTTTAAGGTCATTGCCGTCCCTATTATATTCAGTAATTATACTTCATCTTAGAGCTTTTCCCCTTAGTAAATGTAATTTTACGTGGTACAATGCTGTCTGATTTTATTCTTTTAAGCGTAATATTCCTCGCACATTCGTTTCCAGTCCATCTTTTTTTAATCTTGTTTTCAGTATAAACTGAGCTCCTCACAAAGAGATCGCGTAAAAAAGTTCAGTGCTATTACTCGAAGTTCTGATAAGGTTGCTATTGACTGCCTTCAGATGAGCAATTGGAGGTTAGAACAGGCCGTAGATTACTTCTACAGACAGAATCCAACTCCTCAAGGTCCCACTATTAATGAGGCGAAAATTGACCATCTGTTCCAGCGTTATCGTGGTAAGCGTTAATGCGTTGAACACCTGTACTCGGTTTTCCGATGACGTTAAAACCTGAGAATGAACTATTGATTATATTTTGTGTTAAAGAACAACTGTACTCGAGTCGTTATAAGCAAAGATGGATGGTGGCTAGCAGTGAAATCCAGGACGCGCGTTTCGTCCTATTTTGGGCTCGGCTGGATGTATCTGCAACCCAGAGTTGATGTTCACTTCGGGACTCGAAGCAAGTACCATTCACCTCAAACGCAACATGTTATTCACTTTGCTGCTGAGTCTAGATAGCCACTAGCTTGTGCAATGGGGTGAAGTTTTAGTTCACTTTCTATTGTTTGTTTAAATCTCCCCATATTTATTTATGTATTTAAACACATAAATATTGGTACAATGAGGCATCAAATAGATATACACCACATAAATCAAATGATTTGTGTGAGGACTAGGATACTCGGAAGCAGGTGGTTCTCTTAGGGGGCCACTCCCTGACCCTTCGACCTAGAGGTCTAATCCACAAGGCAGTGGGGAAACTTCAGGAGATGCAGTCCCATGGTACCCGGTGGCCAACGATTGGTCCACATGCCTTGTTTCCTCAGGACCCTGGGCTTATGTGCACCATTAGTTTGGAATGAGGGTTTTTCAACTCCCCTAGGTGGATCTTCCGTGTCCACCAACTGGGTTAAAGCACCGGACATTCGCTTTTCGTCCTCTCAATTTTGTAAGCACCTCCGCCGCGAGAAGGCAGTGAACAGAACTTCCCTGTTAGTATTTGTATGTATGTGACCATGTGAGAGCATTTGGAGAGGGCGAGCTTACTCCCCCCACTCTCGACCGTACCATGGCATTTGGGGGCTTCCCATTAATGTTTAGGACTGCAATTGATCAGTCTTATTGGTATATGTGCATCCCGTGCGGATTGCCTTGAATGTCGGAGTGAGCATCAACTCTGGGATGCAGATACATTCGACCGACAAGTCCCGAATAGGACGAATTTCACTTCTGGCCACCATCCATTTTTTCTTATAATGCTTGTGACTTAAGACAATATCGAGTCAATGTGCACAGGATTTACATATGCAAATAAGAGACTGATCACTTGTGCTTAATCCACTTTACATATTTGGTATCTGGGGATATCCGGGTCCCACTTCATTTTATGAATGTCAGCATGACTTTGAGTGAAAGTTTTAAAGTGCTTGGAGTTCTGAAGCTCCAGTAAGTCAGCTTGATTCGCATCTTTAGAACACAACTACTGGAATATTTTCAGAGATTTCCCCATGTTTGCTCTGAATTTATTATCCTAATGCAACTTCATTTTAGTTGGAATGGTTTCTAAAGGAAAAATAATTGTTTCAATTAGGTCATTACTTTGATGTCAGTTAAATGAATTTGTATATCAATAACCCAACATATGTTCATTCATTAGTTGGCTTTGAATCACATGTTTTATCTTAAGACTAGTAATGCTTTCCAGATGCTAAAACTGGAATGTAGTTCGAAATTGCAATCTCACCGAAACTTCATTACAGACTAATATATCTTGACTGCTGATATATTCTGTGTAGCGGCGACATCTTAAGTATCACTAATTTCTTACTGTTTGATATTGCTTCCAAAGTTTTAAGTTTTTAGAATTAGTTATTACCGTATGTTGGTGTTGGACTTCTGATTCTCAGTTGTATAGAAAACTAAATCATCGTTTCAGAGGATTTGAGTTTCATTTACAAGTAGTCTCGATTTTCTACATTAATCGAACTTGTCTGAGAAATACAGCCATTTCTTATAAATCCTTCGACGTTGACCCATGTTTGTTTCACAATTAGAAATATTAGAATCATGTTTAGATATTATAAATCCAAGGAAACAATATCTCTGCCTCTGTAGTTATAAATAACTCCACAAATGTTTCGTTGAAAGATATAAATTTTCTTGAACTAAAATTTATTGCCATTTTTTCCATTATATATTTCTGAGTAGATCCTCAGTGTCCTGATCGCATACTAGCTACAGGGATGGAGCTATTTCTTGTCACAGATCTCCATATTGACCCAGAAAGTTTAATCACTTTAATCCTAGCTTGGAAGTTTTCAGCAAAGACCCAAGGAGAATTTACTCGCGAGGAGTTTTTTCGTGGATTCAGAGAGTTGGGGTAAGTTATCTTTATAATACTTCAGGTTAAAATGTTATGTCTTGGTCAAATTTAATGGAAATCACTGCTTACTTTCTAAACTTCATAGTCGAGTTAGAGACTAGTTTTCTTCAGTTGAGTACTGTTAAAAATAAAGCTACCTACTATACTTAATCCTATTTTAATAGATTATATCAAGAGATCACTAGGAATCATTACGAAATCTAGTTCTGTAACATTACGTGGTGCTATAACTGTTTCTCAGTATTAAGATCACGAACAGACGTAAGTCAAATAACCATTAGAAACCATGAGGCACCAGAAATCTGTTTCGTTTTGGTGTGGAACTCCTCAACTGTGCACACCCATGACCCCACCAGGAATCGAACCTAGAGCCCCCAGGTCTCGTGGAAAGCATTTAAGCTTCAGGCCACTAACCTCCTAGGATCCAGTAGTCTGACATCTCAACAGAACACAACTGGGTGCAACCGATTATTATTTTAAATTAGTACATTTCATCTTCCCTTAATGAAAACAACTAATAATAGGAAAACTAACACTGAAAATAATGATAGTCAATAATCAAAAGAAAAATAGACAGAAAATAGAAGACTTAAAGTAGTATGATATTAAAGGTTTTGAGTCTGTGTATTTAATACATCGTTCCCAATGATGTTAATTCATGACGTATAAATCCTTGTGAATTCCATCCGAGAAATCCACAGTTACTTACATAACTTAGATGAAAACTCAATGGTTTTAGCGCTCGATCATATTTCTTGGTCTAGCCAGACGGTGACCCTTTTTTATCTTAATCCTACCCTGTTTAGTAGATTGTTTAAACTCATATGATAACTAGGCTCTCTTTCTATCCACCTCAATCAATGAAAGGTCACATTGACTGACTAACTTTAACTAACTAATGTATAGTTGAAATTAAAATCACTCGTCTAGTAACAGATCTACCGCTCCGGAGATGTTTTGAAAGAGTCCATGGTCAGTTACCTGATCGTACTTCAATGGTGTCTACTCTTTCCGGCTATTGTAATACGCATTTAATGAGTTAAGCCCCTTGAAGCTAAATGCCAAATTATACCGTGTAGCTGGTATATCAACAATACATTTTAAATTAGTGCAATTACAGTTTCAAATTATTTAGCTTTTTGGTTATATTGATATTTAATGAAGGCAAAGTTGTATTCTACTATCTAGTATTCCTTGGCCATAATACTTCAATTGAATTCGAAGTCAGAGCAAAAAATTGCGAACGAACAATATTTATCCAAATTACTTAAATAAGAAAGATGCAATAGTCGTGTGGCATTTGCAGAAGAAATAGCCAGACTATTACTTTCAAGTGGACATAAATCCCATCTAATTGATTTGAGGAATAAAGATTTAGTGCTAGACAGTTCTAGTAAGAGTGCTGATCTGTTCTTTTGGATCTCCATGACCATATTATAAGTAATCCCCCATATTATTAAGATGCAGACAAGTTTTCTGGAGAAGCCTTTCAAGAAGATTTGACCAGGCAAACTGAAAAAATGTTGACTAAAAAAGGAAAACCAGTTAGACATGTGGTCTTGCTATTACAAAATTATATAGCCTCCAAAAAAAGAATGTTCTTGTATGTTCTATGCAGGATAAGAATAACTTCGCATTATGCGACTACTAAAATAGCTAAGACTTTACGGTCGACTAGAAATTGTGTTACAAATATAGCAATTTAGAATTCTTAACAACATATAGATGTAATTAGAAGACTTCATTTGTTTCAAGCTAAGATCTAGTTGTTGAGATACACAAATAATTCACTTGCTGTATTCTTTATTCCTTTGTTTTAGGTGTGACTCAATCAGTTCCTTGCGTAATAAACTTCCTAGTCTATTAAGTGATATAGAAGACAAACAAAATTTTCGTTCTTTATACTTATTCACATTTGGTTTCGCTAATCTGGATAAACATGAAAGTAAATCATTAGGTAGGTAGATTCTTGTCTTCTATTCATTTAAGTAACTTCTTATGGTAGTTATTGGTAATGTTGTGTATTCGTTTCAAAATTTATTCATAACGTCTCCCATTATATTAAAGATTTGAGCACTAAAAGTGATTCACCAAAAGGCACAAATTACTGGCTACCATCAGATTGTATTTCAAAATGTTTCTCTACTTTTCTGTAAACTAGTTCTTTTGGTTCAAGAACTGACCCTCCGAAAAACTATCTTCAGTTTAGCACCCGAATGCCCTAGTACGGTCGAGAGTGGGAAGAGTCAGCTCTCCTTTTCGAAATACTGTCACATGATCACGCGTGTACAGCCACTGCCTATGCATGAACACCGATTACCACGACGCCCAGTGCTGAGTAGTGTTGGGAATGGTTGGAAGAAAGTTAGGGACGGTCAAACCGAAACGTCCCATCAGCGCTTGAAGTCACTAACATCTAGTCCTGGCCATGTTGGTAGATGCAAACTACTTGGTTGGGGTCCGCATGACTTTCGTACCAATGGTTGGAAACTCTGGGTAACATGGCTCAGAATCGATCACAATGGCGTAGGTGTATACACATTTTGTCTTCCCTTAAACTATGATATTTAGATTATTTCATCTTTCTACGAAATAATTCTTTCTTTCTGCACTATATCCTCACATAAAATCCTTCCTTTATATATTACACAATTGAGTTAACTGCTTCTATGAATCCGGTACTCGTCTTGCTGTGCTATAGAGGTGTGGCAACTTAGACCGATGCATGTATATGCCTGGTTCTACGTTGTAACTGACTGACTTAGCCACTGCCAGGGAAGTCCTACTCACTGCCTTCTCGCGGCGGAGGTGCTTACAAAATTGAGAGGACGAAAAGCAAATGTCCGGCGCTTTAACCCAGTTGGTGGACACGGAAGATCCACCTAGGGGAGTTGAAAAACCCTCATTCCAAACTAATGGTGCACATAAGCTCCAGGGTCCTGAGGAAACAAGGCATGTGGACCAATCGTTGGCCATCGGGTACCATGGGACTGCATCTCCTGAAGTTTCCCCACTGCCTTGTGGATTAGACCTCTAGGTCGAAGGGTCAGGGAGTGGCCCCCTAAGAGAACCACCTGCTTCCGAGTATCCTAGTCCTCACACAAATCATTTGATTTATGTGGTGTATATCTATTTGATGCCTCCTTGTACCAATATTTATGTGTTTAAATACATAAATAAAAATTAGGTTCACATATTGTATCACACTTCTTATTCGGTTGATGATAATCATTGAAGATAATGAATTTTCATCCTATGCTCTTAACCTCATAGATCAGAAAAGCTAATATTTCATTATAAGTTAAGGTATTTTGTGTCACTTTAATCTTCGACTTCGTTTCTTAAGAATTTTATCCTTTAACTCGGCAGCTCGGCTCTGAAGGTTCTGTCAAATTTCGACTATTGTAAATCAATAAATGATCAACTTAAGAAACCACATGTGCCGCTTAAACTCTTTCTTCAACGTTCATACATTGATGTACATCGAATAACAAGCAGGTTTGGCTATGACTCTATATAGGTCTCAATACCAAGTTTGGACTTGATAGTTCCAAAGAAATTGACCATTGGGTAGAAAGTTAATGATAAATATATTTTTGTGATTTCCCAATGAGTAGAAATTTGTATTTCTGACGTTTCGTGACTTTACGTTAGTCACTTCTTCAAAGTAAATATTGTTTATTTATTTACTCGGGAAAAGTGACTTACATTAAGTTAGAAATACGTTTCACTCATCGGAATATTACAAAAACATATTTACTATGTCTTATTCAGTGTTCACTATCATGGACTACAAATTCATTTTTCATCTGTAGATAGGAAGATTATATTGCACATATGTGCTCATCCGGTAATCCTTGGGCATTGGTATCCAGTCCCACTGACCTTATTGTTGCATGGAGCCTCAGAACGGAGGTAACATTTGATCCTCGCTAAAAGTCGTCTATATGTCCTTATGATAAGCTGTTCGATCTGTGTAAAAATTTGCGTATGTGATGTGGATTTCTCCTTTGGCCAATATTTCCTGCTAATACCTTTATCTCTATGTTATCTTGTGAGCTACTCGTTTTTTTTTCTTCACTAATATCTTAAATTACAGTCCATCTGTAATTTATCCTAAATATTTCAGCTTTTCATGCTACTTAAAATTTCACTCTTCCTTTCCAAACTACATTCTTTGAATTTTTCACTGTCTTTGATATCACTCTTATCCACATTTCTCTGATTTTCGTCCTATTGATTTAAACCTCACTGTGTTAGGCCAACGCATATATGCACTAGGACACTCGTTGTGTATGATTAACTTAAAGATTACTAACCAACCGTAAAACAGTTAAACTTACATCCGAATTTGTCCCATAGTAGTTGAAATATCTAATGCTTAAATCAGCAGTTTGTGAAATGATGGTTAAGGTAATCAACTTTAAACCACAAAGTTTTAAATTAAACCACGTTTCACCTACTATTTTTGAACAACTAATTAGCATCACATTTAGTATGGCTCAGTGCCAAGTATACAAGCCTCTACGTAGTGAATGGGTTAATCTAAGTCAGTAAGCTACCATTATTTCCTTTTTTTAATTAAACTTATTTACCAGTATTACTTCATTGTGCGTGTATTTGTTCATAGTTCTTCAGTACGCTATTCCCTACTGGGAAATTCTTCTACGTGGTCGATTTTGTCATTTATCCCTATGGTTTAAATTCCTTCAAGTAAGTCATTTCATAGACCAATACATTAATTGAACAGTTGTTAGATGTATTTAATTGACGGTAAATTAAAGCAATTTCTTTGAATTTTCACATTTTTTTATCTACACTATTAGTGAATTGAAATATATATAAGTGGGACGTAATGCAACTTGCTTAATTCCCACTTTTCTAATGTCTAATTTGAGTAGTTGTTCATAGTATTTCCTAAAAGAATTCAGTTCACCGACCACAAAAGATACACGTTTTATGTGATGGCTAATATGAACACTAGATTCTCAAATCAAAGTAATGAGTTTCAGCACGAAATTAAAAGGTTGATAACTGAGTTACTCAATCATTTATCGACAACTGGAAGAGTTTCCAATATAATATTGGCTCTACCAACTAAATCCACATTGTTTATTAAAACATATTACCAGTACTTCGGCTATATTGTAAGCAGGTCTTGCAGATATATTTCTTTTGTCTAATTACTTACTGATGCATTTTAAATGGTTTCGACTAACAAACTTTTTTTCTAGTTTATAATTTGTGTTACCGTTGAGTATTGTTTACATTCTCACTACTGAACAGCCAATTATATTGACTTATCGGTTTTTTTTGTCTTGATATTTCTAGGAACATCATAAACGTCCAATTTCTAAGGACACATGGGACCTTCTTCTAGACTTTGTTGAAACAATTTATCCTGACATGTCTAATTACGATGAAGAAGGTATATAAAGATTAGTATATTTATTTACGCATTTTTTTAAAGATTTATATCGAGCACGGATACTATCACTAACCAAATCAAAACTTTGGTATTAGGTAGTTGAATGGAAGAAATCATCAGAATATCGTGATCTATCTTTCATACATTAAACATCAATACATCTTCGTTTCATTGAACACGTAGACACATTGCACGATACCAGGAACTTTACAGTCTTCTATTCCAGTAATATTCGTAAATAAATACGAGCTCATACACTAGGTTAAATAACTATACTTATTGTTATTGTTGTCAATACTTCACAAATGCCTATACTGAAGTCTGCATGAAGCAGAGTCCCTAAATCAATTGACTAAGTGCATGTATCTAGCCCGTCGCTCCATCCGGGCTGCTCCACATCTGGATTCTGATAATGAGCTAAACCCTTATTTATTAAATGCCAGGATTAAAACTGATTGCGGAACAAAACAATAGAATAAGGATTTGAGTAAGAATATTTGAATGTGTGGTAAATTACGTAATGTTTGAAACTTCTTGATATTATGATACAGTGTAGTAAAAATGTATTTAATTGATCCAATGATATCCTTATGGTGCTTGATTCGTTTCATATCTATATTCATTTTCCTTGGTAAGAATCATTTCCTGTTTTATAGTTGCTTTTCACTTCAAAAATTATCTTTCACCTACAGGTGCTTGGCCAGTACTGATTGATGAATTCGTCGAATGGGCAAAGCCTCAAGTTCAGATGGATATTCCACTAACAAACCACCCATGATCTTATCATATAATTTTGGAATGATATTTATTCTTTTTGAAATATGCAGCTATGTTAACCTCACATTATTTTCAGTCAGAACATTTGTAAAGCTCGTCTTATCTTTCTTCTACAACTATCTTTCTCTTCAGGTTTTCTCCCTATCTTTGCAAATTATTTAGTTACGAATAAACTCTCACTTTCAATGTGTAGTCTGTTTGTGTATTCAGTCATGGTTCTCTCGAAAATTTTATTGGCAATTAGCACCGGTGAATTGAGGTAAATTCACATCGAAATATATGTGAGACCAGTCTCAGTCCAATTAACCGTATGCTACATCACTTTACTTCATATTTCGTACATTATTCAGAATTTCGAGTCAATATTTTGTTGTCTTTCTTTTAAAGGTGTTCAGTTATTGACTAAAAGATTAGTATATTAAACAACATACACTTAAGAATATTATTCTTTGTCGTTTGCCTTGTTAAACTTCCAGAAAGATTAGTACTTCACATATGTACCTAGTATACTTAGCACTTCGTTCTTCTACAATGCTGTAGGTTATTCTATCAAACTACAGTGTTAGTGCCAACTAATATTTCAATCTGTTGATGTACGCCTCATCCCTACATCACCTCCTATCCAGGTTATTTTTCCAGTGCACATGTCCCCAAAATTTCTTGTCTTGGCATCTAACATGTAAACTGTATAAATTTTGTTCAAATATATATTATATTCTTATAAACAATTTTTATATCGCCTTCACTGTTGTTCTATTTACCACCACATTCCTATTTGGTCGAACAGCCGGACTTCTCAGTTCGCTTACTTAATCATAGTGAACAGGTAAAACCTCGACTTAGCGAACATCGTTGAATGCATAAAGACTGAAATGGGTATTATATGGCAACACTAGTCAATAAAATATATACATCTATTTTTGAACTATAGATATAGGATGATGGTAATTGAGAAATGTGTGCTCGGGTTTGATCTATACAAACGACTGTTTGTTTCAGCTACCGTCTGCAAGAATCTTGTTCTAGTACTTCCTTAATTACGCCTGTTACCCCTAATGGAACGTAGGCTACCGAACAGGATTCTCTAACTAACTCTCTTCCCGACTGCTATTCATTCTTTTGCTGTCTGCCTTCTATGCTTTGGTCTTCCTTTTTTCCCTTCGTTTGAGGATCCCAGGTTAGTGCTTGCCTTGTGTTGCAGTTTGATTTCCGTAATGTATGTCCTATTTACCTCCAGCGTCGTCCTAATTTCCTCTTCAACTGTAATCCTGTTTGTTCTCTGTCACGGTAGGTTGTTGCTGATGGTGTCTGACCAACAAACCTGCATTGTCTTGCGTAGGCAGTTTATAAATGCTTGTGCTTTCTTGATGATGATTGTAGTTCTCCAAGTTTCAGCTCCGTACAATAGAACTGTGTAGAAATTCGTATTGAAGGCTCTAACACTGACTTTGGCTGACAGCTGTTTTGAGTTCCAGATATTCTTTAGTTGTAAGAATTCTGTCCTTGTGCCGGTCCGTGCATTCACATCTGCATCAGGTCCATTTTGTTTATCAATGATATTGTCTAGGTAATTAGGACTTTCCACCTCATTCAGAGCTTCTTCACCAAATGTAATTGGGTTGGTGTTCTCCGTGTTGTATTTGAGGATCTTGCTTTTTCTTTTGTGTATGTTGAAGGCTACTGCTGCTACACTGGATGTTACCGCCTGGATTTATTGGTGTGTATGGGATAGAAGAGCTAGGTAATCTGAGAAGTCCAAACCGTTCAGCTGTATGCAAGCTGTCAAATGTATTCCATGCTTCCCCTGAGATGTAGAGGTCTTCACAATTCAATCAACCACCAGAAGAAAGAGGAAGGGTAAACAGCCTTATCCGACACCGGTCCTCACTTAGGATGCAGCTGTCCTTTATGCACGACTTTGCATTGTAGTCCGTCGAATGAGTTTCGTCGGATATTGACGATCCCAGGTACACCATAGTGTCGAAGTCGCCATGAAGTCTTATCCACGCTGTCAAATGCTTTCTCATAGTCAAGGAGGTTGATGTATAGTGACGAGTTCCATTCAATTGATTGTTCAACAGTGATTCGTAGTGTGACGATTTGATCTGTGCACGGGCTTTCGATCTCGAAGTTAGACGTCTACTGTGTCTTTCATCCGGTCTAGCAACACTTGTTGAAAACTTCTGGTACTGACAGTAGTGTAATACCTCTGTAATTCTCACATTTGTTCAGATATCCTTTATTTGGTATCTTGATGAGGTATCCTTTTTTCCAGTCTGTCGGCGATTAACCTCCCTCGTAAAGCCTTCTGAAGAGAATGTGGAGTGTCTTTGCAGTTATCTCTATGTCCGACTTAAATGCTTCAGTTGGTATATTGTCTGGTCCCACTGCTTCTCTACCCTTGATTTTTCTGATGGCCATCCTGATTTCTTACATCGTTGGCTGAGTGACACCGATAAGAATGTCTAAGTGTGTTGCTTCGGTTTGTAGTGGGTTCAGTAGGCTGGTCTGTCCAACAGTTTCTTCAACGTTCCCTACCTACCTGTTCCGCTGTTCTTGAATTTCAGTGACTGTCTTGCCATCTCTGTCCTTGATCGGTCTCTCTGGTCTACCATATTTCCCTGCTAGCTTCTTGATTGTTTCAAATTTCCTTCTCTTGCAGCTTTTCTCTCTGTCGTTGCTAGGTCTTCCATATATTTTTCCTTGTCAGCTATAATGCTCCTCTTCACTTGCTCGTTTGCTTGTGTGCATTCAGCTTGTGCCCCGACATTCTCTGTTCTTGTTCGACTGCTAATTGCTGTTTTCTTGTTCTTCCTTTCCTGAATCTTGTCCAGGGTTCCATAGAGATCCATTCTTCATCATGATGCTTCTTGCGACCCAGAACCTCCTGACACGTTGAAGTTAGTACTTCTTGGATCCCTTCCCAGTTGTTCTCCATAGTAACGTCTTTCAGTAAATCTTGTAAGGCTTGGGACCTGTTGTTAAAAGCTATCTTGGATTCGTTTAGTTTGTCAGTATCTCGAAGGAAAGCTGTACTAAAGCTTTTTAATGCTGTTTCTCCAGTTGTCCAGTGCTTCTTTAGCTTCAGTTTCATCTTGGTCACTACCAACTGGTGGTCTGACTATATCAGTTACTCTCTTTGTTCTCACATCCTTTCTTATAGTAGCTGCATAAGTGCTGGTGGTGACGTGAGTGATGAGATCAATGCACGTATAGTGAAAGCCAGAGCGGCTTATGCCAATCTGGGCTACCTTTGGCGCCTTCGTGATGTTAGTCTGGCTGTAAAAGGTCGGATCTACAACGCGTCGGTGAGAGCCGTTTTGCTCTATGCTTGTGAAACCTGGCCTTTCCGAGTCGAGGACGTTAGAAGACTCTCTGTGTTCGATCATCGCTGTCTCCGAAGGATTGCTGACATCCAGTGGCAACACCATGTCAGTAATGCAGAGGTTCGGCATCGTGTGTTCGGGCAGAGATGATAATGCAATCGATGTCACCATCTTGAAACACCGACTTCGGTGGCTTGGACATGTTCTACGAATGTCATCCCAGAGAATTCCACGTCGTGCATTATTTGCCGACGCTGGGACTGGTTGGAAGAAGCGGAGAGGTGGTCGTTGCATGACATGGTGTCGTGGTATGAAAGAAGCTGCAAAGGACCGGCTTCTGTCGGTCCTTCACGACTCCCTGGTTGGGGTCTGAGAGATGGTGCTACACAGTGGCTAGAGACGTTATCAGATATGTCTCAGAATAGAACCCAGTGGCGATCCTGCTGTAACCTTCTTTTACTTTCTTCATAAAAAGTGGTTGTCTTCCTTAACTGAAGGATTTCTTCCGATTGTACCTTTCCGTTCCCTCATTATTATTATTACTACACCACCTTACACCAACCTCTTCGTTATTGTTCTCGTTTTTTTACGCTCCTTACCTTTTTTTCTTTCTCTTCTAATTCTCATTGTTTTGTGTGGCGCATATATACTGGCGCTCTCTTGTACCAATATTTATGTGTTCAAACAAATAAATATAGCGTCCCATGATACCTTTGTCTGGTCTTGTCTTTTCCGACTTTGGCGTTTAGGTCTCCCATTAGGATGGTCAGTTCCTTTCCTGGGTCTTCTCTGACTGACCGCAGCTTCATAAAACCGATCTTTATCGTTTTGTTTGCTATCACTGGACAGCATTCATCGGAATCCCCTGTTTTGAAAGGTACTTTGATGATCTCGGATCTATGAGATTCACAGTTGATTGATCACTGGATGATGATCAATGTCATGTGTGTCAGGTCCTTCTTAGTGCAGATTGAATCCTATCGATGTGGCCATCAGTCTAGGTGAATTCACATTGCATGCATTATGCGAAGAGACGTTACCACTGTGCATTAAGAACTTGACACACATTACATTGATCACCACCTAGTGATCAATCAATTGTGAATATATCTCAATCCCACAGGAGGTCAGTCGTGGCCAGGACGGCCCAGTAGTAAAGTCTCTGCCTGTGAAGCCGGATGACACGGCATCGAACCCGTCAGGGAGCATCAGTCCCCTCAATATTACAGGTACATCTTGCTGACGGGCGCCAAATATCACGAAACCCGGGCCCAGGGTTTTTGTTGACTACCTCCAACCGCCATCTTATCTACGAGATTCGTGTTTCTTTAGAAAGCATTAATGCGATTTCTTGTGTGAAGCATTTTCTTATTTATGGTCAGAGTACAACGGCACCCCTCCCGAAGCTAATCCTTTCTGTCCAGCTTAGGTCCGATGGCTTTCGCTTATTTTGCGCACCGCCTATTTGTATCTCCTTTCCGTAGCTATTAGACTAATCCCCCCGGTCTCCCATATTGTCCAGACATTCGATGTGCCTACATTAATTGTTGCTCTGGTTGTTAGAAGGGTCATCGGCCTCGTGATTTTCAAAGGATCTCGGCTTTCACCATAAGGTATCAGAATTCTAAATAAATATCCTTCGACTCCCGGGGCGGACTTTAAATGGTGTTAATGA